CTGATTCTTGATCTAAGAACTGATGTCATTGTAAGAACTGTTGCACACATCGCTGCAGGAAAATCGAAATTTTGCGTTTTTACCCAACTATTGATATATTTGGGATGGTATTCAAAATTCTTTCTTTTTTTGTTCCATCCTGGCATCAGTCCCCCCCCCCTTTTTTTTTTAACACATTACACACTTTATAATGCATTACCTGGTATACGATAACTTTATGTTGCCAATAAAAAATAATGCTTGGGGCCACTTTTTTTAACATCTTTTAAAATAAAAGCAATTTGATTTTCTTCCAATATTGATATTTACTAGTTTTTAAAAAAGATATAAAACCCCAAATGATTCTGTGTTTTTTAATAAAATGTCGCAGACATTTTCGTGCCAAATGGTCAAAAAGGAATCAATTGTTATTTACAATAATATAAGTGGTTAAAATACCTGTTTATTATGTCATACGTGCTAAAATGATCGTGTGCTGCTTGTTATTAAGTTGAAAACAGGAAGAAGACTAATGGCGTTGAGTAAAATGTTATTTCTTGTTCAATTTAATGTAAATTTCGTCTTCATTTAATGTCGTTCGGTTCTTGTAAGAAAATTTTCATTTACGTTAACAAGAAAATACAATACAAACAAAATAAGACAGTGGACACTTAAAAGACTTAAAGTTTTGGGAAATACGAATTATTATACCATTGGAAACCGGAAGTGGAACCAACCTTCTTCGGAAGGATATGCATATCCTACTTCGCATGCGCCATTTTAATCAATATAATAGAATAGTGACATAATGGTATTTTGTCATGGATACGTTGGATATTTAAAAAAAATCATTTTAACAAAGAAGCAGTGTTTCCAATTTGATGTTGACATCCTTAATCATGGATTATAATATCTAACATTACCCTTTCTTTGTTAATTTAATTACTAACTTACTTATTTATTTAGATTTTCGTCGGCCCATTTCATTTTGTTTATTCATCCCATCCCACACACACAATAAACCTCTTTTACACTTATCCGTTCCTCAATAAAAAAAAAAAGACATATAATTTTCACCCCCTATCCCATCCAACAATCTACCTATTTACTAATAAAAGTCTCGAATTTGAGTTGGTTGAAACTTTTCTCCTCATCTTATTTCTTTTTTTTCCCCTTATTTGATCTTCATTAAACATGAATAAAATTGTATTTGATGTTTGTAATAAGAATTATCTGCAGAGTTATACAAGACCTTGCATTATGATTTGACATTTAAATATTCGATTACATAAAAAAAAGCATATTTGAAATTTTAATACTTTATTATAGATATGGTTCCAATTAAAGATGTGTTTTATCATGAACATACCTGAATTTCTCTATTATTCCCATTATCTTTAAGGATAGGCTTTCTATTTTTATGTAACTGCGTTGGTGTGTAAGCATTAATAGTAATTTAAATCACAGTTTTGCCGGATAATTTATATAATAAAAGGTTTGGTTTTTTTTTGTATATAAATATAACGATTTCTCTCAGTTCAACAACCGACTCGGTGAGCCTGTGGTAGCGTGCTTTTGGTGCGGTAGGTCGTGGGTTTGAACTCCGGTCGTGACAAACCAAAGACTACAAAATTGATATTTGCTGCTTCTCCGCTAAACAAATGGCATTTAGGAGTAAGCGCAACGACTGGTCGGCTCGGAGTCAGAATAATGTGTCCGAGTAGGGTTAACTGTCTTTTTTCGTACTGTTTTCTTGTTAAATATCCGGTTCAGCGTGCACGTGTCGGTCAACTGCAAATCTGGTTTATATTCATATCACATTATCATGTTTTCTCGAATATGCATTTAATTTGCTACTGGACGCACATGCACTTGTCTCTGAAATTTTGTTTATCTATATACCTTATTATTGCATAACAATATAATATTTCCCACAGAAAGTAACCCAAAGTTAGCGTGCAATAAATAGAGAATATCATATGGCTTTTTCAATATCACATCCGTATCAACCCGAGACACCAATATAATCCCAAGAGCTCTGCTCGAGGGATTATATTGGTTGAGGGTTGATATGGTATGTGATATTGAAAAAAGCCATATCATAAACACTTTATTATATACATATACCACACGTAGATGTTTTTTTCATGTGACATGACGTCATACAGATAAGAAGGTTTGAAATGACGTCATACAGATTATAGGTTTGACATGACGTCATACAGATTAGGGGTTTGCAACAATGACTGCAATCAATGACGTCATACAGACGACTAAAGGTGTGATAAAGCCTTTGCAACCGTGCTGATATCGATATCAGCACGGGTGGCTGATACAGCACGCTTGCCAATGATTGTATTACACATACAGTTTATTTGTATTTACTACTAAGTATACATAATAAATTCTAATATTGCACTAATGCAATAAATCTTCAAAATTTATGACGTCATCAACGACAAAATCTTAGTTTAAACCAATTTTTACTTTCAAATATTATATTGCTATACAATAAAAGGGTTATTGTATGACTATTGGGGAATATTGTTCCTCGTAGAACATATATTGCACTCGCAAGCTCGTGCAATATAAACTTCTACTCGGGACAATATTCCCCAAATTCATGCAATAACCCTATAATATAACAGTTGTATATTAATGTATATAGATTAGAAACAAATGCCTGTGAATGGACGTTAAACAGCAATCCATCAATCAAAGTTCAGCAGATTTGACTTAAATGTATCATTTAAAAAAAACTTGTTCTCGCGAAGACAAAGCCCGTGTGTGTTGAATCGGCGTTTAAACCATATACTAGTAAACCAATCAATCAATCAATCAATCAGTAGAGTTAACAGATACCCGATCAAGGAAATGTCAAACAGTTAATATGAAAGAATTTGAAATGACATATTGACTAATCTGTTGCATGGGTAGTAGCTAAAGGCGGAAGTCCAAAATCCCGACAGATAAATATGTCTATATTTACTAGAAAAAAGGGACGATATATTGACCCTGATATTGTGGTACGTTGTTATTTCGTTGCCAATTACACCACAACCAATGCTGTATGCTGAATAATAATTTCCATTAGATATTTCTTTATGCCGGAGAAAAAATACAAGTAATGTCAATTACGTGGATAACTTATTTGTATAATTTAAAAAAACTAAAAATAACCTTATTTGATATTACCAAAAATGGATCATTTACTTAAATACTGGTCAATTTTTTTAAAATTTTTTTTTTGTCTGTACAAAGTTTTTTTTAGTAAATTGATTTTGTTATGAATTAGGCCGTTAGTTTTCTCGTTGTAATTGTTTCAAATTCTTCATGTCGGGTACTTTTATAGCCGACTATACGGTATGGGTGTTTCTCATTGTTAAAGGCCTATGATTGCCACGTTATTTGAACTCTAGCGGATAGTTGTTTCATTGGCAATCATACCACATCTCCTTATTTTTAAATTGAAGTAAATTGATAACAATAAAGTGCAATATTTTATTGAATTTAAAAAAAAATAACTGTTATCAATAATTGTCTGCTAACTTATTCAAATGTCCCACATGTAATGTATTTCCATTTTAAGGTAAACGAATGTTAACAAACAAATAACAAAACAACAAAAATAGCAACAACAAAAATCCAGAAATAAATAAAGTTTGCAAAAAGTTTAGAAATTAGATAAAAAATATGTTGCATACCTGCACGCATGTGACATTATATATATGCCAATGCACCTTGTGTAAGAATTATAAAACTCACTTATAAAAATACAGAATTTGTAAGCCGTAAGTCCATATTAAACATGACACCCCATCTCTCAAACAGATAACCAGCATCCCTGTCCGTTAGACCTGTTAAACGCCGTGCAAACACATGTTGACATTTTCTATTTTATTTCTCCTTAGGAACATTTACAACATTTTCCCAATACACAAACGAAGTTATTGGAACCATTTAACAAAACGACTCAGTCACATGGTTGCTTGATTCAATAGAGAAATATTATTATTGATGCTAATTTCAATGTAGATTTCAGCTGCCAATCATCTAAGCTAATCTTTTTCTCGCTGTTGATGCCTAATCCCTTATTCAGTAAAATATTAATACTCACCAATTTTCATGACTCTATAGGGGAATTTATTAGTTATTTTCCATCAGAGGGTTGAATTTCATCACCGTTTTCTCGTGTTGTCTATTGTGTATATTGAGATAAAAGATGTATGGATGCAATAATATGCATGTATATATATTCAATATTAACACTATCAAAATGCATTATTGATGAAGTTACATTGTTATTTGGAATATTAATAATATATGAAAGTCGTTATTACATCTCATTTGGGTGTACAAAAATCGAAGACAAAAAATGCAAAGCTTTATTTTAGACTCGTTTAGTACAATTTAAAACGTTTTTGATTGGGATTATATCAAATTAGATATGAATCTATAATTACGTAATTATTAAATTTCAATGGACACCTTTTTTTTTTTATGTAATATCGATTTATCTGAGAGTCTGTAGAACTTTTGGAAGAAAAAAATACCAGAAACGAATGCATTTTATAAAAGAGCGCAAAAAAAACCACTCATTAGAAACCATGGTAACATTGAAAGTCTGAAAAATTGTTGTATATTTTTCGTGCCCATAACACGCGTTTCTGACAAAAGTTTGGAGAGCCAAAAATATAAAATGGAGGCCAGATAAACTAAAAGGGTTTTGAACAAAACAACCAAATCTAAGTTAACTTTGATTTAGTGGTTTCAAACCGTTAGCTTTAGAACAGTTTCATACATGACATAATAAACCAAGAATCATTCATTTTCGACATCAAAATTTGGGGTAATTTTTAAAACCAGTACTTTTAAAATTTGTTTGCATTGAAATGTTTTTGTTATATATATTCCTTAGCAAAACATGGCCATGGATTTCTATATCCACATGAAATGATGATTTAAACATTTTTTCCAATAATCGCTATTCTATCAAATTAAACATAGATCAAGTTTCTTACCTTTGGGAGCCACTAAACTCTTAGTTCTAGAACTCACAGCAATATTTCACAAAACATGTCAATTTTGTTGATCTGTTTTAAGGTCCTCTGTCAATCTCTTCTCTCGGAGGTGAGAAAATCCGAACAAGTTTGACAACAGTTGGTTTCGTAAATTATGCATAAAGTTTACAGGCACCATATTTTCTTTCCCAATTTATTTGTTTGAATAGCCAAACTTGCTAATGGTATGTCTCTATAGACTTAGAAATAATCAAATTAACTAATCAATGTCCAATTTATAACAATGTTATTTGAAAGAAGCACGTGCCCATTGTCTTCTGGTTTTTGGTAATGGTCGTCTGCTTGTGTTCCGTAATGGTCGATTAGATTTTAATTGGAGTAGGTAAACAGCATTTATTTCTCAAAAGTGTTGATCTTTTATAGATGGACATTAATATTGATTATTTTAAATGGAAACTGTAAATGAAAGGCTTTCAAATAGTTTTCTTCTGTCAATATTTAATGATCACTACATCATTGTCGATCATTGCATTATCTGTCCTGTCAATCCCGACCACCTAACCAATCAAGGATTATTTTATGATATGATAAGTGAAATATGGTTTCTTATAAATATCAAACTCGCATCTTTAATACCTTTTTTTGGGAAAGACACTACTGATTTACCTTGAAACACATCACATCTATAATAGGTACCTAAGATATTTGGTTTCAAACACACTATGGAATTAGTGCTTTATTTAATGCAAATATCCACTAATTATAGGGTACACAGCGAACAATAATAAAAAGCGGATAGAAAATCATTGAAAACACTATATGATGTAAATGTGAAATTCGAATAGGCGTCACCATATTCATTTTATTGCATCACAATTTTCATTCTATCAGAGCGTTTAAATTTCATTGTCTTTTGACATTATTGGGTACTTCTAAAGGTTAACCTGGATCTCGATATCTTAATTTTTTATATGCGAGTTTACTTTGGAATGCACACAACTTATGATGTCGCCTTTAAGGAAATATTTAGTTCAAATTATAATTCATCAAAAAAAAAATCATGTATGTTGTGTCCAGTTACAATATATTGTCTATATACCTACCTACCTGTATTGAATAATTGTCAATTTAGCATGCAAAAATTGCAGAATGATTCTAGGTTTATATAAATTGATTCATTTAAAAGAATTTGGTTCGTGAATTAAGCTTATTATTTTAAATCAATTCTCATCTTCTAAAATATACTTCATAACACTAAAACTGATCTCTGACGAGTTTCAGCTGTAATGCATACAACTTTTTTCATTTTTCCCGCAACTAAACTTTGACCTTTCTAAGAGAATGTGAAGATTAGTACCGTAGGTTTATGCTAAAAGTTGTTGTAATTGTATCTGAGACAAATTAGTATAATACCGAAAGCCTGAAAGAACTTGGAAATTCAAGGACGAATTATGACAAATGAAAGTAAGATAGAAAGACATAAGAACAGATATATGGTGACAGATACATGCAAGTTTCTGCTGCCACGATATAAATCTTAAGCTTCTATACAGTTTTGAACAACGAGGAAAGGAGATCTGTTTTACGTTATCGGTATGAGCTAAATAAAAATTACTAATAAAAATATGAGTGGTTTTGCACACATTGTTCATTTGTAATAAATGTTATCCGTATTAAAGTAATTTATATGACTTTGGCAAATACCATATATAACTGGAAAACTTGTAATACAAATCAGACATTGTAAATTATACAGCATCAATAAAACCATACATACGATTTAGTAGGGAAGATTGCAAACGTTAGTTTTAATACTGATCCCAATTGTCTTTAAACTAGAATTTTCTAATATTACATTTGAAAATATCGAACATCAAGCAATAATAATTGAAAAGGTAAAGCTTTATGGATGAACAATTTATCTGAAATAATGTTCGTGTTTTTAATATATCTCCCAGTGGACGATTTGGATCAACCTTTGTATCATATTAATCGGTATTTGAATTGTATTTTACATGAAAAATGAGCTATTAATTCATAGAAATAGAAATTCAAGCATAGTAACATTCAATTAACGGAAAATAAACAAAAATAGATGTTGATATAATTAATGTACAAAAAATGACAACTTTAGATTAATTATCAATTATGTCAGATAAGATCGTTACAATTATTAGTCCTTGGCTACCGCAATGTATTATCAGAGAACCTACATATACACTAAACATAGCAATACAAAGCAAGTGGGTCGAGCAGGATGTCATATTCATGTGCTGGATATGATGTTTAGACTTGTCAGTGCATTACACATGAATGATAAAAATTGGATTGTGAAATAAAAGGGATTAAGCAGTGGAAATTCATTAAAGCTTAAGTAATTCAAAACATGCCTTTTCAATAAGCTTTGCATAAACACGAATAAAGTGTGTTCTACCCTAGAAGCTACTTCCATATGCCAAAAAAAAAAAAAAAAAAATAAGAAATTAGAAACACAGTCGGTCCTTTCAAATAAATATCAATCATAACTGATCAGCAATTTGAAAAAAAAGTTATTTTTTTCCTTTTTTCACAGAAATACTGAAACAATAGATCATAAGAAGTGAAGAAAAACCGTGAAAAGGAGAAAAAACAAGAAAAGAGAGAGGGGGGAAACAGTCGACGAAAGCCAACAAATGATTAAAACGAATCCATATTATATCGATTGTACTGATAGATTATCGCGTGTATGCGTGAAACGGTCAAATAAGAGGAGCTGTGATAGATGTGCTTTCTATCTTTTTGGAAAATCTAGAAACTGTTTTCAATTTATCGACCATTACATCTAATTATTTCCAAATTACCTGAAATGACACAAATTAACTAATGTGATTTAATAAACTGTCTATAATTATATCACCAAAATAAACATAATAACACCTTTGTTCCCGGTAAATTAATTGTTTTTGTGCAATTATTGCTAACTTCCGTCACGACACCTTATTAATAAAGAAGAAATATGAGAATTTTATTGGATGTTTAACGATCGGTGTCGTGTTTTTGTTGTCCATCAAGCCATTTTTATAATCATATTGCTGGCGATAACGCGAGCCAAATGACACGTTCCTTCAGTATAGTAATTGCCAGAGGCATGTACGGAGGAATTTTCGATACTTATATATCTGTAATAATTTGTCATTGAATATCTTACGCTTGATGATAATGTTGTATGATTTTGAAATTTATATCTTATTGTTATTTTAATGTTGTTCTTTGTTAGTTTCTGGTTGTTATGATTATAGTTTTTGAGACTCGGGAGGATCAAGACCATGACAAATAATATAGGCACCTGTCTATTGTGAGAGACTTGTTTGTCTTTAGATGTGTTTTGGTTGTTTGTATTGTTAGATTGCTGTCTAATTTACTTGTATCTATAATCTCCTTTAATTCATATGAATACATGAACGGATGTTTAATGTCATAGTTTTGTTTTGTTGTGTTTGTCATAAAGGATCTATATTCAGTTGCATGGGAAGGCGTTAATCGATGTACAGTTGTATATCTACTTTAAATACGTAATTATAATGATTTTGTCACCTTTTCCAATTTTGATATTCGATATAATTCATTGGTTCGAAATTTTATATATTCAAAATTGATGTACACTATGCTAAGAATCATTATAAAATATTTCTGTTGTAATCTGCCTTCGCGATTTTACTATTTTAATCTAGAGAGTAGACAACAATATGTACAAAACAGAGTTTGATATGTAAGAACTAAACCTGGTGCATCTGTATCCTAGATACAATATTTACCAATGATAATACAATCGTCAATGTTATCAATAGCAAAATGCACAGGTTATTCAATATCAGGCTAAAATGCCTACAGCGGACGGGAAATGTTTGTCTCAAATAGCAACATTGCTCTCAGGTATCAATACATATAACAGCAATACATTCCAGAATTATTACTTATATAATTCGTTGACATATATGTGACATAGAAAAATATGTTATTACAAAAAGTCAAGGCTTGATACGTGTAATACTTCTTACGATTTTTTTCGACTCCGCTAGGTTATATTATATGAAATAGATTATAATGGTATGGCGGGTCCCCGAATTTTTGTTATGGTGGTAATATTTTTTTTATTATCATTATTACTAATATTGAAATAATAACTTTTGTTGTGGTTAAAAATGATAGCGTAAATACGGAAAAGGGATGAGACACAACTTAATCAAGTTTATGAAGTCTTCCCTCTGTTAAAACGTTCTTATCGAGCAAACTAAAAATCCGTAAAAATGGCGTCATTTACACGGTTCATTCTGGCTATTCCTACATTTTGAATTTTATAGGTAAAATAGTAAAATTTTATGTTGGAGTTCCCAGAATTTTTATGTAAACAATGGGATTATGTAGGATTATGTTGTAACAACACTAAACTAATGAAACAAGGTAATTATTGTGGAAAATAAAGAAAAAGAATAGTTTCTATTACAATATTTTTATTTAACAGTTTCATAGGTGAAATTTATTTAGGTGAAAATATTAATATATACAAGTAAATAATATCATTTGAAATATAAATATATTAAAATTGTAGTTCTTATTCATCGAAACAAAGCACCGAAAAGTACACTAAATTGACATTAAAACAGACACTAACACAGTAAAACATTGCATTAAATTGAACACACAAGAGAAAACAAAGTCTTAATCAATGTGCAGTAGATGAGAAGCAGCATCCCTATACTGGACTCGCGTAAGTTCACCATTCTGTAACCTTGTTTTCAGTGTTCGAATATAAAAATAAGAAGATGTGGTATGATTGCAAATGAGACAACTCTCCACAAGAGACCAAATGACACAGAAATTAACAACTATAGGTCGACGTACGGCATTCAATAACGAGCAAAGCCCACACCGCATAGTCAGCTATAGAAGGCCCCGAAATGAAAAATGTAAAACAATTCAAACGAGAAAACTAGCGACCTAATTTATGTACAAACTAATGAATAAAAAACAAATATGTTACACAGCAACAAACGACAACCACTGAATTACAGGCTCCTGACTTGGGACAGGCACATACAGAATGTGGCGGGGTTAAACTCGTTTGAAGGCGCCAGCCCTACCCTAACCTGGGACAGTGGTGTAACAGTACAACATAAGAACAAACTATAAAAATCAGTTGAAAAAGGTTTAACTCATCAGATGGATACAAATAGAAATACATCTAACAAAAACAGAGTGGACGTGGACGGGTACTTATATATCCCCACAACAAA